TGTTATCAACGCCGTGTTGTCGAGCAGGAAGGAATGAGTAGGAAGAAAGGAGGGAAGGAAGGGAGGAAGGATGACATATTTGTTTCACTGGTTAGCTTATGTCCTCAGGTGCAATAGTAGGCAATGCTAGGCCGTTCGCTTCTTCAAGGGACATAGGGTGGAGTGTGATCTGGGTGCATTTCACATCCAAACCAGCAGTCGGACTAATAGAACGTGACAACATCCACGACGGTGCTACCCTACTGAAGTGTACATGTGACTCCAAAATGCTGCACACCGATGCTGTCAAACATGTAAAGAACGTTTCCTGAGGGATTAGTCAGTTTAAAAGCCCGACGTGTGCGTTAAATCCGGTTCCGACCAGCAAATCGGCCTACTATGAAGCCATTAGTGCAGTAATGGGGTTTGACACTGGGAGTGTGGCAATAGAGATGCTGTTAGCGAACGATTATGAAGGCGAGTTGAGTCAACGCGACATTCAAAGTGCATTGGTCAACGTGTACATGTGCCTCTATATGATTTGAAATTAGAACAAATGCCACCAGATGTTTAGGATATGCGCTCGCACAACCACATAATGGGAGCCGAATAGCACTGCGGTCGTTGTTGGCCAAATGGATGTGGGCTTACTACTAAGTTGTAGTGTGTGATGTAACTGAATGAATAGGGTTGACGAATCCGGAGCGACACGTTAAACGGCTGTGGCCTTGTAGGTTGATTGGGTGAATAACTGTGTGAGATATTGGAGGAGGTGTTTGCAGTGTGTGCCACCGCTCGGTGAGGGGATGCTGCCCTTACTATCTGCATACTCTACCATTTGTTGCTAGAAGCTGATAGAAGATGCTTCCACAACTAGCGTGGTGGGGCAGCAAAATATGTATACTCGGTAACCTGTGGCATCGGCACTCGAATTTGTACTCGTACGTTTCCACCAGCTGGCGATTTTCCTGAATAATCTGCGTAGTCAGATATTTGCAAAGCTTAGAACAATGCAACTAAGGATGATAAAGTCTGCTTCTACAGTTCTCAAAAAGGAGGAACTATAAGATGAAGACAAGATTAATAATCGAAGTTTAGCCTAGGCAATTCTAGTGAAGTCGAGCAGGTGATGAGAGGTGTTGAGGGCGGGAGTTCTACGCACATTTGATCGACTATGACTGGAGTGCCTCCTAGGTTTAGACACAAACGCTGATGCACGCAACTTTACTTGGGCAGGCTGGAGTTTTGCAAACCGAATTCAAGGACACCTTATTAAAGGATGCATTTGCCGGATATGAACAATGGCGAATCTTAACTAGAGTGAGTAGAAGTGAAGTCGAGCAGAGCTTGTTCCAACTACCCGCTCAGTGGGCGAACGTAGCGCGTAGCACAATCACTGGCGCTGTGGGTCTCACCATGCTCCTTGCATTCGACCTAATTCATGGCTACTGTCAGTCTAGAGACTACACTACAACGCGAGAAGACAGTTCAATGCAGTGGATTTGCCACTTCGATTCCACATTACCTCCTCCCCTCGTCTGTCCCCATAAAATTCAGCAAAGGTTATCGTACGAGGCAGATGGGAAAGAGGAGGAGAACGCACCTCCATGCTTGGCAGCAAACGGCGAGTCCTAGAATGCAACTCAACACTTATCCACCACTCTTGGTCTGATGTCTGCAGTGGCATCGGCTTGGCTGTTCATGTCAACCATCGAATGGACTGCATGACATGCGCATGGAACAGTGGAGTGAGTGAATGTGTAGGTGATGAAGTTGCTAGCTCTCCAAAGCACTGCATGATGCCTGCAAGTAGATTCACGCCTAATGCAAATAATAATAATAATAATAATAGAATTATTTGGGATGATAGCATCTGCACATTTATTGGTCTTTGATTCCTTTTCGCTTTATTA